CACACACACACACACACACACACACACACACAACACACACACACACTCACACTCACACACACACACACACACTCACACATATAAACTTGCACATAAAAAACACCCCTATAGTCACATATAGGGGTGTTTGAAAAGGCAAGCGTCACTATTACTATTAATCAAACTTATGGCATTTTCACCTAAGTTTCACATAGTTTTTGAGCTTTTGTTTCAGAACTTGGTGATTTTTTTTCATTTAGTTTGGTTTGTTTAGTCATATATGAACATACACTACAGGTCAAAAGTTTGTTATAATTGCATTTTTAAAATATTTTTGAAAGACGTTTCTTCTGCTCACCAAGGCTAATTTATTTGATCCTAAATACAGTAAACACAGTGAAATATTATTACCATCTAAAATAGCTGTTTTATATGTTAATATATTGTAAAATGTAATTTATTTCTGTGATGCGCAGCTGTATTTTCAGCATCATTACTCCAGTGCCTACCATACATCCATCCATCCATCTTTCGATCTATCATTCTATTGTTCCATCCATCCATCCATCTATTGCTACATCCATCCTTCCATCGTTCGATCTATCGTCCTATTGTTCTATCCATCCATCCGATTCAGTTATATTCTCTATATTATCTATTTGTTTAATGTTAAAAAGATAAAATAGAGATGAAGGTATTCTTCAGTGGCATTTTTTCCTATTTCCCCCCCACTCCTGATATGGCATGGTGGGCCAAATCAAAGGGCATCAGGGGCCAACTTTGTCTCACCGGCCCTTGTTTGGGCATCTCTGATCTAGATCATTTAAATCTTTGCTAAACAATATTTAACTCTCATATGGCTCTTAAATAGTCAATAAGAAACCACACATTTAGTCATTCACTTTCTGAGCACAAATCCAAACAGCTATGTGATTATGTGTGTGTGTGTGTGTGTGTGTGATTATGTGTGTTTGTGTCTGCTGTCTGAGAATCTACAAGCAGGGACCGCAGTGGGACTTGTCTGTGTGTGGGGCTAAGTGAAGGTGACAGTGTTTCTGAGCAGCTTCCTCCTGCACAGGAGAGTGATGAGACTCCCTGTGATTGAAGGAACATTCCTGCAGGCATCCTGCTAGGCTTGTAGGATTCAGAGCACTGTCACCAGGGGAACGGCAGCCGCGGCTACCCCAGGCTTTAAGGTGTTGGCCTATTGCGAACAGCCAACGGCACGCTGGAAGTGACCTGGCAGAGACAGAAGTTCAATTATAAACTGCATCTATTGGATGCACACAATAATAATAACCATTTATTGCATTTACATTGTATTATTAAGCTATTAATATGGAAGTGTGGCATACAGGTCAGAACACACACACACACACACACACACACACTCACACACACACACACACACACACACACATCCAGACACTCATCCAGTCAGATGATCAGTGATTTGTACACACCACTCCTCTAGTTCGTTCCCATTTTAAAAATAAAGATTACTCATATTTTAAAGATCTGCTGCAATTCTCATTTCTTCCCTTCTAATCATAAATGTGTCACCAGTTCATGTCACGTCAGCATTTTCCTGCTCAAAGTCACTGCTGAAGCTAGTTTGCTGACATGTTGGTGCATTTTATCACTTTGGTGTCTCTTTGTGAGAGCAAATTTCTGCCTGCTCGTTATGTGCTCCATACAAATATATATATATATATATATATATATTACATTGTACTGAGCATTATAGCTGTTTTATATGTTAATATATTGTAAAATGTAATTTATTTCTGTGATGCGCAGCTGTATTTTCAGCATCATTACTCCAGTCTTCAGTGTCACATGATCCTTCAGAAATCATTCTAATATGCTGATTTGCTGCTCAAGAAACATTTCTGATTATTATTATATTATGATCTGATTATATTATTATTATAAACATTTTACTGTTTTACTGCATTTTTTATCAAATAAATGCAGGCTTGGCGAGCAGAAGAGACTTCTTTCAAACACATTCACAATAAAAATAATTGGTCCAACCCAGCAGTGTCTGCTTCTATTCATGGTAAATAAGGGAAACATTCGATTACATTTTTTGGAAGGTTACACCACTTGAATGACAAAAGTTGTGTTGAAAGTGGTATAAAAGTTCTGTTTCATGTCTCCTAAGCACCAAGGGATGGCTAAGCCTGTGAATATTCCTGCTGCGCTTAGTGGGGAGCGAGACATAATAGAGATGTGACACAGCCCCTTTATAAAAGGATACGGCCCCCTGCTGTTTTCCTTTTGGGATCGGCGATCTTGCAGTTTGTTTGAACTTCAAAGTTATTTTTTCTAACATCTGTGAACAGGATAAAGCACTCAAATATGTTAAAAGTAAAAAACAATAATAGTCTGTATTTAAAAAGTTGTCTGAGCTGAGATTTGTGGTCCCACCCTGCTCTCTCTGAAAAAAAAAAATGTGCAAAAATTTTACTATTAAGGCCCTAAGCATAACCTACCTATTATTTAAACACCACAGAGTAATGGGACTTCAAACTGGCAAGCTGTTTCGAACTCCAAAAGAACTTTGTTTTGACCTGATTTTGTTGTCACGCAAGTTTGTTTTTCTGACATCTTTATTCTACTGTATATTTACTAGTGATGCACCAAAATGAAAATTGTGGGCCAAAACCGAAAAATCAGGATGCGCTTGGCCGATAACCGAAACAGAAAAAAAGAGGTGCTACAGGGATCTATCATGCCACATTAAAGAGCGTCAAAACCACATCTGTTGTTTGTATATTGGGGTAAAATTGACCGAATTTGAAAGCTGAGACTTTGTTTCCTATTAAAAGTAACAAGGCACAAAGCCTATTGTGATTATGGAATGGCAGGTGCTACAAATAATGTTAAGTGATGTTCATGGATCAACAGAAACAGCACAAACTAAAAGACCGATCTTGATATTTAAGAATCAATATCAGAAATTGAGATGGTTATTCCAGCGCTATGTTTACCTATTGTAGCTTCTCCAAGTTTTGTGCACGAAATAGACACTGACAGTCAAAACACGCTATCTGAAAACACTAATTGTATATATATATATATATCTTACATTGTACTACAAAAACAGTGTTGCATAATCATTCTTAGTTCAGCCATAAGGTCATCATTCACATTGTCATTTATTTCTTTTTTGTAATTTTGTCCTTCTGAAAAAGAATTACACTTTAGCAGACTTTTAAAAAGAGCAATTATTAGGAAAATATACTTATATGAATACACTTAAGTGTGAACCGAATGTAATGTTTTCAGACACTTATTTCCATGTTAATTGCAAACAAATGAAAATAGTACTTTACAGGACTTCTTTAAAGAACATTAAACATCTTTCTGTTCAAAAACTTTTAACTGGTAGTGTGTTATCTGCAAGCTTGAAACTCATCACATTCTTTGCTCTGTAGTGATTGTGAGCTGATCTCAGAACAGATTTGGTTGTTAAACATATGTTTCTCTATTCTAGCGATGGAAAGCTAAAGGAAGGAGATCAGATACTGGCGATTAACGGTCAGCTGTTGGATCAGAGCGTCAGTCACCAGCAGGCCATCGTTCTCCTGCAGCGAGTGTCAGACTGCGTGAGCCTCACTGTCGCCCGTGGGCCTGTCCCGCAGCTCTCCAGCCCGGTGGTGTCCAGGACTCCCAGTGCTGCTAGCACACTTTCAGCACACTCCAGTGTTGACCGAATTTGAAAGCTGAGACTTTGTTTCCTATTAAAAGTAACAAGGCACAAAACCTATTGTGATTATGGAATGGCAGGTGCTACAAATAATGTTAAGTGATGTTCATGGATCAACAGAAACAGCACAAACTAAAAGACCGATCTTGATATTTAAGAATCAATATCAGAAATTGAGATGGTTATTCCAGCGCTATGTTTACCTATTGTAGCTTCTCCAAGTTTTGTGCACGAAATAGACACTGACAGTCAAAACACGCTATCTGAAAACACTAATTGAAGTCGCTGATTTGATCAATGATTTCATCCCTACAAAACTATTGTGGCTGCACTAAATGACCGCTGAGACTGGCTCTGTGGTGTACATTTTGCAATTCAGACTACATTGAATAGCACCATCAACTAGCATGGAAACACGGGAGGTGATCTCTAGTGCCTGTGTGATACTTGATAGTCTTCATTCGTGTCCGCTGGTGTGTCATTCCATCAGGAGCGTAACTGTGTCGTGAGCCACTCCTAAAGGAGTCTCTCTCACAGATGTCTTTGCAGCAGCAATGTGGTCGTCTGCCTTCATGTGGGTGAGTTGCCTTCAGGACACTATTGATATTGGTCATCCACTGGCTTAGACGATCAGGAGCCACGAATTAGGACTTGAGTGATGAATACAACAGTCAACTGACTGGCATTTTATGGTCACTTGAACAACATGTATTATTGTGAGATGTTTTCCAAAGAGGGAGAACAGGGCTGGCTGCGTCACATCTCTTTTGTTAGCGTTGTATTTTGATCCCAGCTAACAAGGAACATTCTCAGAACGTTCTCTCAAAGTTAGCAACAAATGTTCCTCCAGCAATGTTAATAGAACGTTCATTTTTAAATGTTACTACTTGTTTCGGAATGTTCAGAGAACATTCTCATAATGTTGCAAAATTGTAAAACAGAATGTTCCCCTAACGTTTTAAGCGTTTTAAAAACAACTGCATGTTTTGAATGTTCAGGGAGCGTTCAGGAATAATGTTACTTAATGGGAACTTTAGCTAAATGTTCCTAGAACATATTTTGTTAGCTGGGTACGTGCAGCAGCAACATCCACAGGATTTATGGCAATCTGATGGTTAGCTGGCAATAATAGAATCACTGTTACATTTCTAACTTGTATTTTTCAGAAACAAATGAATCCGCTATGAATGCAAAAATCATGAACTTGCATTTTAACATGCTTTTTAAACTATTTTTTATTTTTAGATGACCCCCTTTATTGTGTGCTTGTGCCATTATAGACCCACTGGACTCACGTGGAGACGATCGAGCTGGTGAACGATGGAACCGGTTTGGGCTTCGGGATTGTTGGTGGTAAAACCACCGGCGTTATCGTCAAAACCATTCTACCTGGAGGCATCGCTGACCAGGTAAGTTCACTTTTGACCTTTTTATGCACTGTTATGACCAATGTGTCTCTGTCTGTCTGTATGCCCCTCCCTCTGACCTGTTCTCCACTGCACAACCTTAAACTCTGCTTTCTTTTCGAGCAATTGAAGAAAGGCAAGAAAAATAGTAGGGCTGTCAAGTTCATTTGGTGCAATTCATTTTTAATAAAGCGTAATCTGTGTGTCATCTTGCATTGCAAGCAGTTACTGACAAACATGATGCAGGATGACTGACTGTGTCATGTAGCCTATAAATGCAATTATATCCCCCTAAAAGTCAAGATATGAGAGTAAAAAATGCCCCTGTATGGGTTTTTGTCTTATATTTATATCATGTGATATAGTTTAGCAATATCACACAAGCAAGAGTGCTGTTTTTCCTGAATATCTGCACAATTGCAAATGTGATATTGATTTTATGGAATGGTTCAATAAACAAGAAGTTAGTATTGTGTTACGTTTTAGATACAATATTGTCAATATTGTTTGTTTGTTTATATATATATATTTTTTGGTTCAATTCCGCCAAAGAAAATTGCTCCAAACAAAGCCAGCACCAGAATTGTTTTGCGTCTCTGAGCAAAACACAGCACTGTTTTGTTACTGAATGAATCCACATTTTTTTAAACAGAGTGAGCGAATGATTCAGTGACTCATTCATAAAGACTAGTTTCTGAATGAATCAGCAATTTGAATGAATTGGTTGAATGACTCACTCACTCACTCATTAAGACTGGCGGTTTTTGTTTCATATTTAGAGTATCATTTCCTTTTTTTTATTCATTACATATTTCAATATTCAATTAACAAAACATTAATACCCAATTGCTATCATTATTTATGCAATGCTGAATCAAAATGTTTCTTTCTAAAGCTACTTTTTGTAATGTCTATTCAATGCTTTTCTCATTTAACACAATAATGACTTCAAATTATCTTTTGTGGGGTAATTTCTCAGTCAAAATTGATGTGCATTTAATTTGTGATTAATTAGTGTAGTTAATCTGCATAGCATCTAATTAATTAGAATAAAAAAAAATAATCACTTGACAGTCCTAAAAAAACAAAACTGAAGTCAACAATGATTGTCTAATAACCCTGTGAGGGGTCCAGTGAATTCAACCCAGGAATAAAACATTGAAGAATGTCATAAAATCTGTTTATGAAAAATACAGAAGTTCACCGTCTCTCTCACTGGTTCTAGGACGGTCGCTTGCGAAGTGGGGATCACGTCCTGCGGATCGGTGATACGGATCTGTTTGGTCTGAGCAGTGAGCAGGTTGCTCAAGTTTTGAAACAATGTGGAAACAGAGTCCGACTCCTCATCAGTCGCGGGACGGTGGATGATGCTACGCCCGCTGCTGTCGCCCTGCCGACCGTCACTGAGCAACAGGTTCAGCTGCACATGTGCCACATTGCTGTATACTACATACTGTATTTTGCTCTTTTGAGATTGACTGCATTGACTGATAACCATGCTGTCTTAAAAGAACAGTTCACCCAAAAATGAAAATGTGCTGAAAATGTACACACCCTCAGGTCATCCAAGATGTAGATGAGTTTGTTTCTTCATCAGATTTGGAGAAATGTAGCATTGCATCAGTGTCTCAGCAATGGATGCTCTGCAGTGAATGGGTGCCGTCAGAATGAGAGTCCAAACAGCTGATAAAAACATCACAATAATCCACAAGCAATCCATTCCACTCCAGTGCTCAAAATTATGCATTTTTATGAAACCTACCTATATTCAAGTGTTGATAAAAAAAGAATGCTTTAAGCTAGAATAAAACTGATTTTTTTGTTTAAAAGTAGAGGCTTGATCTTTATTTTGGTGTATTGCATATTCAAATATTCAAACAGAAAAATATTCTGGAGGCCATCACATTTTAGTGAAAATCATCAAAATCGCTGGCGGTGGCTGGCAACTTTTTTCAGAAATGCTGGAGGGGAAAGAGTTAAGACGTTTTTAACTTAAATATGAAAAAGCTAAAATGTGAGTCCATTATCCATAATAACGCTTTCTCCAGTGAAAAAGTCCATCTCCTGTTGTCT